ACAAATTTAAATGTTGAACGTTGCCTGATGACAGCCTCCTCAGAACATGCGTTTTGCGAAGCGTGTTTTGTGAGTTTTCAACCTCAGATTCACTTCAGCGTTCATTAATGGCGACTTTCTTGTGGTCTATGTAATCTGCTAGAACTCGACGGGATATTTGGATCATCGGGGTCTCGTCGGTTCTTCCGACTCGCGCTTTGGCCACAACCAGAGGGACTAAGTCTTCGACAGCTTCGTGTGCCACCTCTTTGGCAGATTTGTCCAGAAAGCATCCAAGGAAACATTTTCGGGTCGGTCTATTGGAACAACTGGGTGATCATGAGTAGCATCATTTAACTTGGATCAATGCTTGTCAGCTCAATTCAGCGTCCACCGATCAAGTCATGACGACAATGTGATGGAAACAAAAACGTGAAGTCGCCCGCTTTGCCTGTTGAGGAAAGAAGCCATCGAATGGGTCTATCAAAGCGAGAAAATCTAATTCACGACATGAAACTGGTCATCCTCCGTCCACGCACCATGTGTCCAGTGATAGTCGCAGCCTCGAGGCAGCCGGCGTCTTGGACCTTCCACAAGCGAGGCCCACAACCATCTCAAGCCATTTGATACGCAATGTCGTCAATAACGGCTCATGTACGAATTTGGGTCTGAGCACCATATTTGGCGTAATTAGCGCACGAGACGTGAAGGAACAATGGGCTAAATGTATGAAGGTGTGATGTCTGCGTCGCTTTGCTCTTCAGGTCATTGCGCACATCATCTGATCAGCGATCGATCCGCTTTGTTCTGTCTGACAGCGATGACTTCCTCTATTGGGCATATTCTGGACGCTTCATCTCCATGAGGAATTTGGACTGGTGTGCTTCCGTGTATGGTCTACCGCGTGTGGATCCAAGTGTGGGTAAAGCAGGTACAGCATCGTTCGGGCGGGAATTTGTATATAATGCTAGTCACTCGTCTGCTGTATAGTGCCCACCTCGCTGTCGAGTTTGTTTCGATTTCCCCAAACGACACAGCTGATTTTCCAGTTCCTTATTAAACAAGTGCCACTCATCCACCTCATTGATGGGCAGACCTCCGCTCCCTCCTGGCAAATATCTATTCGTTCACCAGGACCCTTCTCGATACCGTAAACCTGGGGATAAATCGAGCGTACCTCAGCCTCTTCCTCCTGCTGCTAGTTTATCACAAGCCGAGCCTGTCGAACGGAAACCCAGACGCCCTAATAGGGGTGGATGGATACATTTGGACCCATCAGTACCGGTCAGCGACCCGAGATACCGTATTCTCCCTGTGTACACGCCTGGAGTTCCGCAACTTGCGGAAGTTACTCTGGCGAGCGAGCAACAGCGTCCATCAAAAACGAAGAAGGCGCCTAAGGTTGTCACCGTCAAACTTGAGCCTGAACCCGATTGCATTACGTGGGCAAGTGACAACAGACATGCTGAAGTTGCCGCTCAATCAGTAGAAAACAGGACTATAGTGACTACTGTACGTTCGAAGCGCGCGCCATCCTCACGGAAGGCGAAGCCAAAAAAGACGATCGTAAAGCTTGAAGATCCCTCACCCTCTTTATCATATCGTTTGGTTCCGGTAAAATGGGACAAGAACCGTCAGGCTGATTCAGATCAATGCAATCCTGGTGATAGCTATAGATGGTCTAAGTCCGAGAAAATTCAGCCCTCTTCATCCCCTGCCGCTGTTCACTATCACCCGTACTGGCGGGAAATTCGTCCTCCGCCTCTAACACCGAGTCCCACTCCGGAGATGGAAGAAGTCAAAATTTCGCGGGAAAGAATGAGGAAAAAGACATTTTTCGAGGTCGTCTTGAATCCCGTATGAGCTTTAGGTATGTCTTTGACTTTGAATTATTTGATCAAAACTCAACGGAATTCCATCCTAGCTATCCAATCCCCTTTTCTGATACATTTCTTATTGCAGCCACTAAACGACTACTGAATATGATATCATGATCTGGAACACATAAATAGACTCTATTTCGAAACCAAAACATGACTCTAAGGCTAAGTAACAGTGAAAATCAATTGGAGATCATAGTCGCACATTTACTAACAAGCTTGAGAATTCACTGACTTATTCAGAGGTGGTGATGCAATGCTGGGTTGAAAAGAAAAAGATAAAACATTTTTTGCATGAGGTCGCTGAGATTCCTAGATGTCAGGTATCGACCACCGTTGCCTGTCGTTTTAAGTCATCGTTAAATACATACAGTATGCGTCTTGGCGGTCTTCGACAATGGCTCGTACAAGACTCACAGTACCTGTTCGTCTCTTGCTTCCTCTCTTCCAAAGTCTGTGCTCGGTGAGATTTCTAGATTCTAGCTACCGTGCTGCGGTGAACCAAGCTGAGGTGAATTAGAGCATTTTGGGGCTGTGATACAAGCGGTGGACTTGAGCCTTTGGAGGCTTCGAGTATTGTCAACTTGAGTTCGCTCAATTGTTAGTGAAGTCAGTATTCTCAGAGTATATTAACTTGATGACGACTAATGAATCGATTGGACTCAAAAGTGCGAAGAATCAACTATTGTTAGCCATTGTCCCACTTACTCGTTATATGGCTCAAGGTAATATTAGAATCATTCGACATCTAAAAAAATATTCTGCAGGTGCAGTTGAGACGAAATATAATCATGAGGAGATATCTGAGTTACGAAAAACGGAGAGCTTACATTGATCTCCTAGAAATTAGAATGATCATGGTCGCTACTTACACTGCCTTCCAAAACATGCAACGAAGAATTAGACCCAAAAATGTCGCGCGAAATACGTTACGCAGTGGTAACCAATCCCAGCCATTGTCCCATTTACATGCAGTAAGCCCCCAAGGTAGTACTGGGTTCAGCCGATATCTGGGAGATGTTGAGCCAGTGTACTGAAACAAAAGATGATTTGCAGAAAATATCTGGGTCACGATAACAAAAAAAAAATACATTCATCTCCTCTTACTTGGCCTTCTATCCCTTCTTCCAACAAAAATACAGAGCTCAAATTCAAACGCTCACGAAATGTATGCTACTCCTTGAGGTTCGCATCTTGCGCGCCTAAATTTGGAGCATCTAGCCGAGCACACGTGAGCGGCCCGAGCCTATGTGTGTTTTTGATTTATTTTCCATTTTTTATTCTCTATAATATCCTCACTCTCCGCCAAAAGCTCAACGCCGACGCGACGTTTCGTGGCTACATCAAGAGTGTAATATTACGTGGTAATCGGGCGTATCAGCTTTTTTCTCCAGAATGGGCAGATTTTGATTTCGGATACGGCCAGGCGCGGGCGGCGGAGCGCGATTTCGCTAAGAATCCGCATCAGACCACTTTTTGGGCACCTTTTTCGATTACCTATACGACCTGGGAGGTACTTATATCTTCACTCCGTTATCGCTTTTCAAGCAGACTAACGCCGTACAAGAGTCTCCGCCTTTATCGCTTTCATTCAGATATTATAATCCGATACCCCTGGGATCTTTACTCTCTTCACATCTACCCCCACATACCCACTTTCATCGATATGTCTTCTGCAGAAGCAAAAGCCGCGCGTCGCACCAAGTTTGAGGGAGTTTTCGAGAAAATCCGCGATGAGTTGATCTCTCACTTCGCTGGGGAGGGCATGCCAGCGGAGGCCGTCGAGTGGTATCGCAACGTACGCCAAAAGACTTATCTCTGTCGCGTTAGATCTCATCGTTTTGGTAGAACCTGAACTACAATGTGCCAGGAGGAAAGCTTAATCGCGGCATGTCTGTCGTCGATACCGTGGAGATCCTCAAGGGACGAGCACTGACGGACGACGAGTACTTCAAAGCCGCCGTTCTTGGATGGTGTGTTGAGCTGGTACGTTGTTAAATTCTCAACTAGTCGATCGAATACGCTGAACCTGCTCGATGACAGTTACAAGCATACTTCCTGGTCGCAGACGATATGATGGACGCGTCGATTACTCGTCGAGGCCAGCCATGCTGGTATCGCGTGTCTGAAGTCGGGATGATCGCGATTAACGATTCGTTCATGCTAGAGGCCGCAATTTATCGCCTCCTGAAAGTGCATTTCCGCTCTCAGACCTACTACGCTGACCTACTCGATGTCTTCCACGAGACGACTTACCAGACGGAGATGGGCCAGCTCGTCGATCTTATCACCGCCCCTGAGGACAAGGTCGATCTGAGCAAGTTCTCCCTCGAGAGGTACGTTTCTATCTCTCAAAATCGAAAATTTATATATTAAAGGTCATCTAGACATCGCCTGATCGTCATCTACAAAACCGCGTACTACTCCTTCTACCTCCCCGTCGCATGCGCGATGCTCGTATCCCACATCCCCGAGTCATACACCGTGCCCACATCCCCACCAAGCACCGTGCGCCCATACGATCTCGCTCTGTCCATCCTTCTCCCGCTTGGCGAGTATTTCCAGATCCAAGACGACTTCCTCGATTTCTCCGGCACACCCGAGCAGATCGGGAAAATCGGCACCGACATCGTCGATAACAAGTGCTCGTGGGTCGTGAACACCGCCATTAAGCTTGCGACCCCCGCGCAGCGCGCGATTTTGGACGAGAACTACGGTCGCAAGGACGCGGAGAAGGAGAAGAAGATCAAGGCGCTCTTCGAGGAGCTGAACATCCGCGGTGTGTATGCTGAGTATGAGGAGCGCGTGGTGGGCACGCTCAATAAACAGATTGATGAGATTGTCGAGGTTGAGGGTGGCTTGAAGCGCGAAGTGTTCAGGAGCTTCTTGGGCAAGATCTACAAGAGGAGCAAGTAGGTAGATTGCTCTTTTTGGACGCGAAACGAGGACGTGCTTGCAGCAACGTAATGGATCCGTCCGACAGTAGGAATGTAAAAATGTACAACCCATACATAGAATCAATCAACATACTTAGATCTTTTTTCAATTCGTACGATGATTGATCCCAGAAGTTGCATAGTGATTCTGCAATGAAGGTTGGACAAAATTATACAATGCAAAGAGCATATAAGCAAAAAGCTTTGATGAGAGTGGGATTCGAACCCACGCCCCGGAGGACCAGATAACCTTCAAAGGTTAGTGATGAGTACAGAGTACCCTGATCCTTAGTCTGGCGCCTTAGACCGCTCGGCCATCTCACCATGCGTAAACTTCAACGACTATACATCAATGAGTCGTTATATTGTTCATGGTAATACAAGAAGGGATCGTGAACTTGGCTACAATATTCCGATACAAATGTCCAGGATGTGTTTAGTTTTTACCGTAGTTTAACAAGTTGCCCAAGCCGAGACCTTTGTATATTTTGTCCAGACCCTATATATTCACAATTTAGCTCTGGCCACATCAAATTGACGAAGAGAGAGATACATACCGTGGCTGCAACGATACCTTTGAGTAAGCTATCGAGACCCAAACCCTGCAAGAGTTTTCCAACAAGGTTGAGGACTCCCGCGAGAAGAAGACCAACGCCTCCGACGATTTGGGTCAACGGTTCTACATTGAGATGCGACGAAGTCAGATTGGTACTCCATGAAAGAGATGTGGTCGAGAATACTCACGTCCGAGCGCGTCGAGCAAAGGACCGAGATCGCGTTTGGCCTTGGGGAAATTGTTGAGCTTGTCCCTGGCCCATTCGATGGTGCCACCGACTTCCTCTACCATCTATTCATGAAGGATGCACCGGTCAGCAATCTGGTCAAGAGTATTTGAAATTTCAACACACAATTTTCAACGCCTCGGCGAGCCGCTGCTCCTCAGGAGTAGCTCTATGGTCCTGGGTGTTGCGTTTCGCTTCATTGGTGAGGCGATTGTCCGGGTCTGCGCCGCGCACAGCGCCATTTGTCTCATTCAATATTTTCTCGGCCTGTTCGAGGAGTGGTCGAACTTGCTGAACAAGCGCGTTTTCGTCGCGGTCTTCTTCCTTCTGAGCTTCGAAGCCCTCGACTGCCTACATCAAGTATTTATATATGACCCAATTTTAAATTTATATTCGAAGAATTCGTACCTTACGAATCATTCGGCACAAAGGCGTGACCCTGGAGTTCGCATCCTCGATGAGCGAAGAGAGACGCAGAGCGAGCTCTTTGTCAGTCTGCTCCTGCTTCTGGGTTGCATGGTTGTTCTCGCCAGTGATATCGGGGATACCGGTACCGGTCTGGGGGATGGGGTTCTCTGCGATTTCTGACATGTTTAGAATAGGTTTAGTGCGTTGGGTTTTGGATTTTCTGGAGTTCTGCAAGGACTTCGGCGGCTTTATATGCTTGAAGAAGGAGCGAGTGGAGGAGGATGACATCACGTATACGGTGGTGCTTGGTTCCCAGCATATGGTCTTTGAACTGCGACGACGTATTTTCTAGGGTCACTGCGGGGTAGCTGTCAATGATTACTCAATTATTCTGTTCAGTAGGTGGTGTTGTGGAGCCCGGTGCGCCACGCACCAAAAATAGCAATGTAGATACTTCAAATTCTTCGATAAAATTAAGCTGTCCAAATATAGCTCTAATGGCTGCACTAAATTATGCATTCACAATTGGCTTCGTCCTTTTTCAATGACCCTTAAGCGCTAAGCAGTGCTAAATACACTTCAACATGAGATTTGGTTTTTTTTTTCTTTTTTCAAAAATTTGACAAATTCCCGGCCATTCTCAAGATATTCCTATCTCTTATTGAACACCGCTCGCGTTTCTGCTCTTTGTCAACGCCAATTGTGAAATTCACAAAAAAGCAGATGGTTATGATATACAAGCTTCTTTTTTCTAACAAATTTAGTACGCCGTTCTCCTCTCGCTATATCAAGATATAAACTGTTTTCCCCTGTCTGTACATTTGAGGTACGTATATCGTTTTTTGCTCGCAATACAATCATGTACCCCATCGTGCATCTTGTGTATATAATAATTGTTTTCCCTGCGAATCTGACCTTTCCCTCTCGATTCTCTCATGTCTCATCACGTGGAATTTTCGACAGTAGACCAAAGGTAATCCTCTCGACCGTGATGGAGTATCCTGGTATGAATCTATATCCCCCCTTTTACTATTCTGTAGACCTCTTAACTCCGTGAATTGTTTTAATCCCAAAAACGGTAATTAATCACGAGATATTAGAGCCACAGTGTCACATGACATACGCGTGACGAGCGCGACGCGCTTCATTAGCGATATCTGCTTTACTGCCCTCATTTCATCCCCTCATATCTCTACAACCAATAGCTTCTACAAAAACTTTACAAAGCCATTTTTATTGCTTATTGATTAAGCCAAGTTTTACGCATCTAATCCCAAAGATTATCACTTCTAATTTTCAGACTATGAACGACAACTTGTATGTCGTTTCAATGTCATTCTCAACTTTTTCATCAATAACGTCACTAAAATAACCTATATTTATACAGCTCTAACTTTTTACCTACCGGAGAATCTTTAAGGACACCGACGTACCACAATGGCAGAGACATTGAAGGACGCATGGAGTAAGTGTTGTACTTTCGCTTCGTAGCCTCCCTTCTCATATCTCTCAGCATTACGCAGCTTCTAACGCTTATATCAGATGGTGCATTTCAAGGACAGGAACTTCCTCTCCCAGTCTTGATCCAATTACGCGACCATATTTTCCCCGGGGAGAACAATGACAGTGAAAATTCTAATTCGTCCGAGTCCCGCACGGTCGCAAGCTCGCCTTCCACCACCACCACCACCACCACCTTTGACAACCACTTTTTGTCTACGGATGGTCCCAATGCTCAACCTCTACCTCAGTGGTACTCTCAATCTGGCAATGCACCAAATGGATTCCAGCCGACCCCCATTGGGCAAGATTTACCAACTACCATTGTTCCGCGACAGCTTATTGAGTCCAATGCTCAACCTGGCGTTGGGCCGTCGACTCACTTTCAGCACCATACATCGGAGGGGACGGTATATGGTGTCTCTCAGGCCCACGCTGAGCGCCGCCATGGGAATCACCCATACGCAGCCGCCCAACGCACTCAAGCGCTGATGTTGACCACAAGTACCGGTCCGGCAACGCAGCCAGACATCATCCCCACCCATCCTGTTCCTGTACCCGTTCCCATTTCCGTTCCCGCCCCTGCTCCCGCTTCCCAGCCCGGCAGAGCTGACATTCCTCAATTCCTGCTGGACCCACCCCGCGAAGAACAAATAACGTGCTTATACAATAATTGCACCCAAGGAACGTTCACTGGCTTGCGCGCGTGGACCCATCATCTGGGGACGCAACATGGCGTGCCAGCAGGGGCGACTGAGGGTGGGATCTGTCTTTATCCAGGATGCGGGCAGCAGCAAAAGGCCTCGTTCCAGAGGCACATAGTCTCTACGCATTCGGGCATACTATACCAATGCCGCCAATGCTCGGGAAAGGTCTCCCCCCGCACTGACGCCATGAGGAGGCACTGCGTCGAAGGGGCGAAGGCCAAGGCGACGCATCGTTATTTCCCGAGAGCGCCTGGGGTTGTATATGCAGACGAAATCAGGGCGTAAATGAGGTATAAAAGTTTGTTATAATCGTTTCCTCTCCTTTCATAGAATATTGGTAATTTTGACGTTTCGGAACGGCTGTACTTTACATACTATACGCTACGTTTGTAATACCTATTGAATTATTCAATGCTATGTACATCTTCTGTATACCAATTAGCATCAACGCACCACTTTTCTGCTCATCTGAACAATCATTGCGTGAAACGCACGGAGGAGAGAGCGATCAGTACCCTGAATGACCAACATAATTTCTGTCATGCTTTAAAAGGTCAACACACCAGCCAGGAACATAAGCGTTTAAGCTACTGGGTCTTTGACATCTCCTACGATGAATTCATTCATCAAAAGAACGACGAAAGCGATTGTACAAGAAAAGCTAACCTAGCAGTGCACTGCTCGAAGGTGCACTCACAACACCCCCACCACTTCCCGTCGCCGGAGGCGGGCCATCGTACTCTGGCGGAGGCTCTGCGGTTCCATGCATCTGCCTCGCTTCAATCTGCCTAATCTGCTCCTGCAACATCGCAATCTGCTCTCGCAAATCACTGTTCCCCGGCTGCGCCGTACTCGGAGGCATAAAGCTCGACGCGGCGTACGACGACCCGCTCGTGCTGGACCCCACAGCGCCCACCGTCCGCGATCGCGTCTCGAGGTCAGCGATCTCGCGCGACATGCGTTCTCTTTCTCTCCGCAGCGTCTCCGTGCGAGTGTCTGTTGGACTTTGGGTTAGAGAGCCGTAGGTCGCGGAGAAATCGTCTCCGGACGAGGCACTTCGTGGTGCCGTGTCGCTGAGCAGATCAGAAGATGTGGGAACGATGTCATAGGCGTTGTTTCCTTTGGAAAACATGGAACTAGCATTGGATGTTGGGAGTCCAGCGGGGAATGGGGTGACTGCAACCTCTATTTGTGGTTCTTTCGGGCTTTCGAGGGGTGGAAGGGTAGGTATATGACGGATGACTTGGGTTTTGTCATCATCAGCGTCGTCTGGAAGGGATTTGGACGCGTTTCTCCGGCGCTTGTTGAATAGGAAGGCGCAGAGCAGGGCGGCGAGGACGACTATGCCGCCGATTACACCACCGACAATCGCTCCAACAGGTGTAGATTTTGATGATTCACTGTTTATATTTTGATTTGTAGATCCTGTTGGAGATGAGCCTGATGTCGACGTCTTACTTGCTGTTGAAAGGCTCGTAGGAGGCAATGTACTGGCACTACACACGCCATTAGAAAAAATGAAAATGGACTGACGAAGGTTGTAGCATACTCTGACGTTATCGATGTCGATCCCGGCGCAAACACTTCAAACGTCGTTGAGTCCTTCAATAGCTCTTTCGTTCTGATTATTCGGTGTAAGGTTAAAGAGGTCTAATCAAGCAAAAAGCGAATTGCACTGACGAAGCGTTAACAAGTCGCACACTGTACAATTTTCTGAGAAGTATAGGGGATATAAGATGCAACGTAGAAGAAAACGAGGATACCAAACGCACCCAGGCGGAACACTCGGAATCAAATAATCTCCGGTCCTATCTGCGGCTTTCGATAAGTCGCTATTGAGCGCGATATTCGTCGTGTTCCCCAGGTTTCCATTGACGAAGAGGATATCCACCAGCACCACCGTGTCCCCAGATTCCAGCGTGATAGT